GGCAGACTTCCAACTGGTGCTCCTACGCTACATCCGCAGCTCTGTAACAGTGGCAAAGCTCTACTGTGGCATTCAGTAATTCATATGGTCTGATGAATGCCTTTTTTTTTTTTTTTAAATAAGTAGCTTTATTTTTCTTTTGCCCACTCAGCAAAGATGGGGATGAAGGAGACGAGAACTTAATAAAGAGAGTTTAGCTAAAAGTTTAGCTTAATAGAAGAAGGAGAGGACAATGAATGAAATGAGAGAGAAAATAGGTAGAAGGGACAAGCAGGTGATGATTGCAGTGGGGTTTTGCAGTCATGGCCCAAAGGAAAGTCAAAAAGATCTGTCATTACAGCAGTGTCTCTTTTTTTTTTTTTTTAAACCTCCTCTGAATTGTACCAAAAATAGGGACATTTCAGTTACATAATAACCTCTAAATGAAAAAAATTAAGATGAACAGAAGTGCTGAATCTGTAGAACCTATTTCTAGCTATCAGCCAAATTTTGCGCCTCAACTCCTTTATCAGCTCAGAGAGGGAGATTAGAACCTGCTATGTAGAACTTTAAAGTCTTTGGAAATCCTTATTCAGTGCAAGAAGGCAGAAGAGAACTTGTTCCATGCTGTTATCGGGGCAGTGCAGTCTCTGCTGCCATTGCAGATTTTTGAATCCCTTCATATATGTCATGTTAATGCAGCAGCTGTAGGTAAGGATCAGGCCATGTGCATGTGCAGAAGGAGACTTGCTCCTTTTTTTCCTCCCCTGTGGTGCTTAGCGTGGTGATGCAGGAAGAAGCATGTGGGTACCAGGGCAGGTCGCCTGTGAAAGCAGCCTCTTGGCTAGAGGCATGGTGTGAGCAAGATCCAGTGCAGTCTGCTAATAAAGCAAATAAATGACTTAAGTTTGAAAAGGAGCTTCAGTCACTTCCCGTAATTGGAACCAGAGAGGTGAAAAAGTAAAGCAAACAGCTTCTTGAAAAGACTAATTCTGAATGAGCATTTGAGACTTTAAGTTAATTTTCTTAGGGATTTTCTTCATGTTTCTCTATGGTGACATGAAACTGTGTATTCCTGTGTGCTTTTTCCAATTTGAAGATTTTTTTTCTCTTCTTGAAAGTCAGAAAAGCTGCCAGGGAGCTATTAGATTCTTAAAATTATATTTAGCTCAGAGCAATTAAAGCTAGCACTATATAATGACAGTTGTAACTAGCTTATCCATCATGCAAGCTATAAGACTTCAATAGGTGGTCTCAGAGTGGCATCTTCTGTTCACACGGTTCAAACTGAATTTGAGAAGGCTTTGTGTATTACTGCAAATTGCTTCTGGCAGTACGCTTTCTTTCTTACTGTTCCCTGTTGCTTTATTTCTGGTTACGTTTTTCAGGGGAACCTCAGCATAATTTTATATTGCTTCCTAAACGATAGTTAGTGGAGCCCTACCCTCCTGTCTGCAGTTGCCTGGTTTGTCCTTTTAACCTCCTGTGTAGTGGCACAAACGTTCATTCAGTATGTAACGGTGTGGCTGAAAATCTGGCTTTTTGCTGGCTTAGTTTTTAACTGGATTTCTGTCCTGATCCTGCCCCCTCTGCAGTCCTATTGCTACTGGTGTTGATAAAAGTTGAAACCAGGAATTAATGGCTACGATAAGAAAGGAGAGAACTGGGTGGTTCCTCCTGAATGGCTTTGTCCTGCCTGCTGCAGATTTATACCAACTTGAATTTTATTGCCAGATTACATCTTAGTTTGGTGTGCTCCTGGTAGACTTTCCAGAAATACGCTTGAAATGTCTGTTTTCTTTAGAACTGATTCTGTTCAAAGCAGCTTAATGACTTCTCATAGAGTTAAAAATATCAATTATTACATATTCTTCTTGCATACCAAGTAATTAATTTATTTTGTTCTCCCTTAAATAGCCTTCCCTCTACGTTGTTCACACAAGCTATAGTCACCCACTGTCAGATAACTTTTTATTATTCAGTTTATCCTTCTATTCCAATTTATCAGACTTTAGAATTTTTCTAATGTGGAGTTTTGTAAATACGATATCCAGAAATATTACATGAGTGTCTGCTGAAGTCGTGTTTTCTTTCACAAGCCCAGGAAAAGAATTAGAAAAATTACAGATCAGTCAATAGAGTGGCAGATGTTGCAGTTAAACTGGTCTTGGTTTCCCTGATGATTTTAGGAAGCATGCCTGTATTGCAAAGTATTCAGAAACAGAAAATCTCTAAAAATGAGTTTATACCTGCTGGCCCATTTTATAGATGAGTTGTGGAAAGGACTTGCTAAATGTTCATGATCTGTATTGAGTTGTCTCGCCATAGGAATATATAGGATGCTGCAGATTGAAGAGGAGCTTAGTAGTGTGCTGATCCACGGCATTTTGTGAGTTTGTCCATGTGGTCTTAGATCGCATCAATGCAGCACAGAAGTTTTGGGAGCAATGGGGAAGGTGGGGGCCTTGTTTCACACAATGATTTGTAGGGAAAACTCCTTTTGGAGGAAGGAGGACTTACTGTGCTTGCAAAAATGTGGAAAGAGAGTGGAAGAGCAAAGGCACCAGCTGGCTTTAAGGAATAACTGAGTGAGCAGCTGATACAAGCTTTGGCTCTCCGATGGACTTCTCAGGTACCTTTAGAAACTCCCTTCAAGTTAAAGGCCTGTGTATTTGGCTTGTCTTAGATGACGTATAAAAGTGGCCTATAATTCACTAATCTGCAGTTGTGAAGACAAGGCCAAACTCTTACACATAAGGCTGCATAATAACGTGGTAAATTCTCAATATTGTTTTGTCTAACTTTCAGTTAAGTGAAGGCTTTGAGGGTAAAATGGTAGAAATGGCAATTCCCCTTACTTGTCCCTTGACTTGCAGAGCTGCTGGCTAAGACATGACCTTCTGGGCTGTGTTGAAAAGCTCAATTATTTTGCTTGCTTTTTGGTATAGTGAAGGCATACATCTTTTCTGAAAGCCATCACATGTTTTGAAAGTCAGTGCGGAACTGCTGATGGCTTAATGTGGCTAGTGAAGGAGAAGGCTTCTTTGGTATCTGTCACTTCCCTTAAGGATCACTGCTATTTCTGTGGCATATGTAAGATATACCTGATAACAAATATAATTAGCTATTAACTAACCTATTTCAGACGAAATAATTTTTTCCATTTCTTTTACTTTGTTCATGTAAATAATACCAAGGATTAGAGGCACTATTTTTCAAGACTAAGTATTTTATTTTTTGGAGCCTTATCAAATGATTCTGTTGCCTTAATAATGAAAAGATTGTAATGCATGATTAGATGGAAGTTTTAAATGTAAAATAACTTTTTTTAATTGCTGGGAAAAATGCCAGGCATAGATTTGGGAATGTCTGACTAATAAAATTTTAAAATTGGTTCCTCACACAAACGCGTTATTTCAGCTGTCTCTGCCCACTACAGGCTTCTACAGGCTAAAACCGTCAATGGGCTATTGCGTTAATAGCTTCTTTAGCTCTCTAATCATAAGAGGCAGCATAAAGGAAAAGCTTAAATTAATATGAAATAACAAAGTTGATGCGTCAAGTTTTTTTTTCTAGCTCTGCTTTTAAAAAACTTCCAACCTTAATATTATGATTATTATAAAAATACGTAAGCTAATATATTACAAGATCTAATCCTAAAATTAGATCACAGATGTTTAGATTACAGACCAGCTGGGAGTGGTGGCATTTTCAGAAAGGTAACAAATAGAAGAAGCAAAAGAATTGAGTGTAAATGGGAAATTAGGAGTTTTTAAGTGTAGACAATCGGTAAAAGAAGGCAAAAGTATTGCTCAAAACGTAGTGGGTTGAAAATGGGGGAAATTTTCTTTCTTCCTTTGAAAATATGCTGGTATTTCAATACTAAATGAGGTCAGTTATGCTAACACTTCAGCAAAGGCAGGAGTACTAAATAGTTTCGTTTCTGAAAGAAGCTGGACGGTCTATTGACAGCATGTTGAAATAATAACTGAGGAAAAAAGTTAAATCGTGACTGCTAAAGCGGTATTATTTTTCAAGCTTACGTACTGTATACAGTTTTAAGTCCAGGGTACAAATAATTTGAAGAAATCGCTGTTCTCTCATGTTGATCTTGAGTAAAGATCAAGAAAGATTCAGAGCTCTAGAGGAAGCTTAATGATTTGTTTATAAGCCGTAAATGATATCTAGTACCAAGACACTGTTTTGCTTGATGTTGATTATGCTTCTGGGAAGATTATTATCGAGCTGATGCGGGAATTGACTTGGTTCAACAGAGATTCAAACCTAATAATCGGAATGAAGGACTATACAGTGTACGCATATAGACAGAGGCTAAAATATTGATCCTGTTAAACTCAAATTGAACTCAAGATACCTAAACCTTGTCGTAAGCCATATCTGATTGCTAGCGCTCATATTGTACAGAGAAATCCTGCAGGCTGCTAAAAGTGCAAAACTGGATCGTCTGTAGAAAAAGTGCATTTGACTAAATATCAAAAATGCATGCTGGCTGCTTCAAAGCAACAACTGAATAATGGTATAAGCCTGTCAGGGAAAGGCGGAGCTTCTCCTTGTGTCTCCCAAGCGCCCTGGGGGGGCACAGTTTGTTTTTAGGTGTTTTTGTTTTCCCCCCCCCCCCCCCCAGTAGAGTTACACATTTGTAGTACAGAATTATGGATCCTTGAGGCAAGAAAGATTTCTGTTTCAAAATGCATTACTCTATTATTATTGTGTTAATAAACTAAAACTTTGTTGCTTTATACTGCAGAGGATTGCTAACCTGAACTTGTAATACCTATCCTTCAGGATAGGAAGGTGTGTAGTCATAAATGCTGTATTTTAGGGAAACTTTTTAGTTTAAAAACAACAACCACCACCACCACCACCCAAGGTAGAGCATTTACAGGTATTTATAGATCATACTCCCTTCATCCCTTGTGTTCCCCAAATATAGAAGGGCAGAATGCAGCAGTTTTATTTTTAATCTGTGGTGTTTTTTTTGTTTGCTTGTTTGTCTTTAGATTTAACACCAGACCGGTGTGAGATTGTCAGGTTTTGCCTGATGGAATTGCTCAGACTTCTACTTCACTAAAAGAGGAGGAAATTTGGATTCTTTACAAACTTGGCACTCGGAGACCACCCGCTCACTGTAAGTCAGTCCTGATATTACATATGTGATGTCCTTTTATAGGAAAGTAGAAGGTAAATTGAGGTGGACGCCTCCTCAGCCTAGAGGGATCATGCTGATGCTGCGTAAGAAGCTTCTTGCTGTGAAGACTCATCACTATCCGTGGAGAATGGGAGAGGAGTGTAGTCTAGCTGGCAGAGAGAGAGCATTTCCATCTCCTTTTGGGGTGATACGTTGTGCCAAATTATATTGTCTAGAAGTAGAAATGGAGGATGTAGGAAGGAAATGAACTAGGTAAGCCTAGAGTTATGGCAATGTAACCTGATGCTCCACTGAGATGAGGGGAGTTGCTTGAAAATATCCTAATGCTGTTTTACTTTTGAGAGAGGACTAGGGAAAATACCATTTGGGGGGTTGTACTATGTTTAGGATCTTTTTAACTTCAGGTTTTGGAGTTTCCACGGGTCGCTTACCAGGGCAGGAAGGGAATCTCCCACCTCGGTGCACAGCTGGGTTCTCTGTGGTTTGTGTCTCATTCTGAAGTGCTCTCAGTAGGCCGCAGCCAGAGATGGGATTTTGGCAAGGTGAGATGATATGGTTCTGATGGTGGTACTGAAGAGCTTCTTGTGTCCTTGGTGCCATTGCATTCACTGATTGTGAGATTTAGGATCAGGAAGAAATTCTGTCCCACATCAGATCGCACGTCGTGGAACTTGTAGTATTTTGCCTTCTCTGATAGCATGTATTCAGGATGCGCTCAGTACTTTTACTTATCCAGTCCTCTCTTGGGGTGAGGACACTGATAAAGCCCTTGAGATCCCTAAGTAACTGTTTGCGGTGCATTTTAATTTTTATATTCTTGACCTTCTTAAACTATTGTATTATGTTAGTGATGTAGGGTATAGGGGACAGACAGGATGTCGTAGGCCTTTTCTGCATAAAACTCGCTTGCAGTAGTGGAAGACTGTATGTTCTGACCTATGTAGTTCTTACGGTTCTGTGATTGTATGTAAAGCTAATGTTTTGAAATATGTGTTAACAGGCTTATGTGGATATTTGACGTATAAAACAGACTATAACACTGCTGTCTTGCACTAATTTCCCATTATATTTACATCTCTGTTTCTGTCAGCTTACTGCTTTTAGCTTAGTGAATTGTTTTAGGCCACGTTTCTCACAATTTCCATTCTGAGCCTGTACAGGGTATTATTAGCTGTACAGGGTATTATTAGCTGTACAGGGCCCAGTAGAACTAACTTAATTTTCTTCTGGAAAGTTGGAGATGAGTCATGAAAACTTAAGTACGCAGCAGCCATGAGGACATGCCAGTGGAGTCTACTCATTGTTAGATATGGCTGCTCTAAAGGACACTAGCATCTGTGCACGTTCTCAGCTTCTACAAATTAAAAGCTGAAAAAGAGTTAGAGGAGGAGGGCAGGGAGCAGAAAGAAATCTGGCTGGTGCTTGGTTTGTTTGTATTGGTAAGCACTGCTACAATGGGCTTTCTCTGGGAGGTGCCCCGTTGCTATAGGATCACTTTATCTATGCAGGCAGAACAGTTTGTTAACAAATACTATTATTAAGTAGATTATTATGTTGGCATGTTTTATATTTAAATAGCAAAGTAATGTTTCATGATTGTCTAATGATTTGCAGAAAAAATTTCAATGTACTTGGCAGAAATGAATATAGCTCAGCCCCACCCCACTGTGCAGCATGTAGCTGTTTTATTTACAGAAAGGGCTCCTGAGGAACAGGTATGTTAATGTCTTTTTATAAAGTCACACAGGAAACCTGTGACAAAGCCAGGGCAAACCCTTGCTTTCCGTATTCTTACCCGAAAGTGAAGGATTAGAATATTATTCTCCATTGAAAGACAGTATTGATAGTCACCAAGAGGAAGAGTGGTAGAATTCCAGGGATACAAAACTAACAGAGTTTGAGCAACTGTAAAAAGGAAATTCTTCATTGCTCCCTTTGCAGCCTTCTGCAACAGCTCTGTGAAAGCCATTATTTAACTTAACAATAATATTTTAGTTTTCATAGCTGATGTAGTATCATCCTGTTGGCACACACTCTTGGAATCCATCAACGCTTTGTAATGCCCTTACTTTAAGAAATATTAAATCTCATATTAATGCATAGTGTAATTTCACTGAATAGTTCTTCATCCTTTGCATAAGGAAAGAAATAGTACTTGGTTAACAAAGGGAGCTCACCTTATAGCGAAGTCATTTTTAATTCACTTTAAAAAGTTGAAAACTGAATCTATGGCAGGTATAGAAGCCATTTCTGTGAGCTACTAAAGAGCCTTTAGAAGAACTCTTCACTGCTCACTTGAACGTGGAGGAAAATATAGCGACAGAAGTAATGGTCATTCCTTAGCCTTTATAAACATTGTTTGAGAAACCATATGCAACTCCTGTCTGTTCCTCCTCTGATATTTTAATCTTAGTTTTGCCAACTGTAAATTCCAAGCTCAGCCTCTTAGTACAAACATTATGTACATTAATTTGAAAATTAATTAAATACTTTCACAAGATTTATTCTGTAAGCTGAATATTGACAGAAATGCTGCCTTTACTGTGGGTTTACTGAAAGCATCTTGTATGAGAAACTCTTTGTACTGAACTATGAATTCTGTACTGAAATACATCATGCAGTGTTAAAGATCCCACAACATGCTTTTGTCCGAGTTGCACTCACAAACAAGTTTAAACCTTTGGTACTTGCTTCTTTGGAGGAAAATGCTTTTGAGGTCAAATCTTAGTGTACGTGTGAGCGTAAAAATTACCAATGTGTGCACAATCTTAGCTCATCTTTGTGCATAGGTTCACGTCTATGAGTTTATATTATTTATTTCTGAAGTGTGTGTGTTTTCATTCTATTTGTTTTTTGGATATTTAGGCTAACTTGTTCAATAGGTAGTAGCATACGTAGATGTTTGTGCAAAAAAAAAAAAAAAAGAAGAGAAGTGGAGAAAAAGCAGGTTTGTAAGTTTACTGTCTTGCCAGTTGCTGTTGAAACAAATCTAACTTTATGTTGTTGTTTAAGACTACAGTGAGCTATAGCTGAGCAGCACAGATGACATCTAAGCAAGGGAGGGGTGAAGGAGCAGGATAACTATCTCGCAAGTGCATAATCGCTTATTTTTAGCTTTAGTGATAGGTTATTAAGAAAAAATTGCTTTTTTTTTTTTAAATGAAGACAGTAGCTGATTAGACAGAGGGACTGTTTGAAACAACTGGACTGCTGATTTGGTGTGATCCCTGAATAATGTAATTTTTAGAATTTGGTGTGTCAGTAGTGTCCTGTCTTCACCTACATAAACTCTTAAGAAGTTGTTTATATCTCTACCGGGTGAAGAGTAAAAATAATATATCAGACACCTCAGAGAAGATTTGTCACCTTTCAAGGGTGTCCTTAGAAATTTATTTATAAAGAGTAATTGTTGTATAGATTCAGGGCCCCTGGCTTTTCAGCTGTGCAACAGCAAAGTTGAAATTA